CTTCCCCCCCCCCCCCCCCCGCATTTCTAAGCACACTGGACTGGTAGGAGCTGGTAAGCTCTAGATAAGACTTAAGCATTTGCCAGTTCCTTGCAAGGTGTGTCAGATCCCAATCTAGAGTTCATTTAGTTCTTTAGTGAAATCTGACACTTTCCTTCCTACTCTCTTTTCTAAAGGCCTAACTTCCAAACATGTCCAATTTGAAGTGCTGTAGTTACTGCAAATGCTACGACTGTTCTCTATAGGGGACTACTTCTGGGCCACGAGGGTGAAACTGCTGCAGTAACTGGTTAGATAACGAAACACATTTGCGTGGCAGCGAGGCTCTAGCTAGCTCAGTAGTTCTCACACAGTTCCGTCCTACAAGAATGGGCTAGGTAGAGGTGAGAAGTATGATAAGGAGGGGTGAGTGGAGGATGAGGTACTAATAGAGAGGGGCAGGCAGGGACAAGGTGAACAACAGTTAATGAGGTGGAGGTATAAAGGAATAGAGGGAGGGCAAGAAGAGAGGAGCCTGAACCCCACTCTTCAGGTCACCTGGGGGCCTATCACCCTCCAGCTTGGGGAATACTGGTCTCGTCTGCCCCTTCTCCAAGGAAAAGCATACGGCTATTTATCCCAGGGCTAGCACATGAATGTAAGTCCTTCATGTGCCCGAAGACTAATTTCAGGCAAGTCATTTGATCACACCATGCCTCATTGTGCTGACCTAACAAAGGGCGATGCTCTAGCCCGAAGTGATTTGAGAAGAAACTGCATTGAGGACAGATAGAGTGTGACCCATGACAGAATTCCACTAAGCCTCTGCCCCTCTTAGGCCACAGAAAATCAGCCAGCTTGTGGGTAGGACAAACTGGCAGGCAGAAGGAGAAATGGCAGAGCCACAAATGATACTGACAGACCCTTAACTGCAGCTTAATGGTGAAGCCAGAAGCCATAGAGAATAACATTATGACTAACCCCGTAAAGTGTAGAGATACATACACAATTTGAGAAATTACAATTACACTAAAGAATAAGGAAATGCACTTCTGAGGGCAAAGGATTTTTGTTTGTTTGATTTTACCAATACTACCTGTTGGCTGAGTTTTTTAAGGTAAGAGATAACACTGTAACTAAGTCCACAATCTAAATTATCTGATATCAGATTTGGAGCTCCCATCATCCTTAGTGCTTTCTTTAATGGCTATAAGGAAACAAAATACACAACAGTAAGAATAGAATAAATCTTAAAATACTCAAAGTTCAGTCATAAGGGGCAAAGGGACATGATTCATTTCTTAGAAGTCAAGGTGCTGCACATCAAACCAAACATGGAACATTCAAGAGTGGCAATGAAAATAGCAGAGACGTAAGGAGCAGAAAGTTAAAAAAATAAAATTAAATTAAAATTGAAAAAAAATTAAGCCAATCAGAAGAGAGTGGGCTAAGAAGAGCAAGTAACAGCAAATACGAACAGGTCAATGACTTTCCGTCTTAACCCCCAAGTCATAAAATCATTCCTCAGTGCCTTTTATTGCACACCCCATTCCTGCCATGGTAAATACTAACACGCCCCAGTGTCTCCTCCCAGTGACACCAACAGTACCACTTAAGATTCTGCCTTTTCACCTCTAGAAACTTGGCTGAAAGTTTACCATAGCAACCTCTGAAATGGTTTGGAGGATCTTGATTTAGACTGCATTACCAGTTTGAAAGCATCATGAATATTTTCCATACATTATAAAAACTAAAAGGAGGTCAAGTAATTTTTTTTTTTTAACTCTTTGGACTCCCCTCCCCAGCAAAGGACCCCACTTTATGCTGTGTCTAGGACACATTTATCAGGCAATAAGCAATGACTATGTCTTCGGAAATTTTTTTTTTCAGAGGTAAACCTCATATTGAGAATTTCTAGAGTTAAAAAGGGAAGTTGATGTAATACATGAATCTGAACCTGTTGATTCTTAAATTCCCAAACTACTATTTTATAAAGTTATTTTTAATAAGAGAAACATACACGTGTTTCATAAAGATAACCATGGCAGTTCAAGGAAACAAAATAGAGAAAACAGTTCTCTTTTATGCCACCAGGACATTTCCAGACTCTTACACATGGCTTGAGAAGACAGTGACAATACAAAAATCTGTATAATAAAACGATAACTAGCTTACTGCAGGGGTAAAGCTTTTAATTCAATGACTTTTCTTATAAGAATAATGATCAATACAGTTAATACATATATACATGCAAATACATACTAATAAGTAGTATGGAGGCAGAGTTTTTAAGTAGCTGTCAAAAGCCTGTCGCCACTTCAGATTTGGCTTAAGCTTGTGAACTTTAAACAAGTCATCTGTAAAAAAAAATGGAATAAAATATTATATTATTCCAGTCCTTAATTCCAAGATCTCAATCAAGCAACTCACGTATAGTTCTAGTACTTACAGTATATAGTATTTTTTTCCCTAGAAAATGAAATAAATTCTTAAGTTACATATTCCTCTTCTGTCTGTGAAGCTACATAAATACAATATTAAACACTAACTCCAGGGGCCAGCAGATGCTGTAGTGTTGAGGTGCTGAAGTCCCACATGGTCGAATGTGGTTCGAGTCCTGAACCCAGTGGCTTAAAACTCACATCAGGCATGTGCAAACGCATGCCCAAAATCCAAAGAGGAGAATGGACAAGAGGGGACAGCAGTGTGGCCACCCCTCCTCCCCAGGGGTTGACCTCTCACACTCTCTCTCTCTCTCTCTCTCTCTCTCTCTGTGTCTCTGGCGAGTGCATTCATTCTAGAGCAAAAAATCTCTCTAAAAAAATAAAAAACAAACTAATTTTGAGGTCAGTCAGATGGTAGTGTGGTTAAGGCGGTTGGATCCCACATGGCTGATGGCATGGCTCAAGTCCTGGACCTGGTGGCTTGAACAACATGCCAGGTGCATGTTCATATATGTGCAAAATCCCGAGAGTAGTGTGAAGAAGAGATGTGGTGCGTCATATCCCCCGGGGGGATGTTTCTCACTTTTCTCCCCCTCCCTCTGGCAAGTGCATGCACACTACAGCAAATTAAAAAAAAATTCGGTACAACTGAATGTGTTCCTTGAATAGCATGTGCATTAATAAGATACTTACCTTTATTTTTAAAGAATTATTTACTTAATTTTATTATTATTTTAATTTGACCAGGACTTAAACTTCAGTCTGCTGGAGTCCAGCCCCTTAACCACCACATCACCTGCCAGCCCCAAGATATTTACCTTTAAATAAGCAGACATTCCCTATCTCTTCACGTGCTAATTATTTTAGTAATCTAAGTTCATTATATATACTTCATGAAAGTTTCTGAAACATCTATTTCCTTCTAAGAAAAAGATATTTTCTTCTAATACAGTAATTAAAAATTGGAATCTCCAGACATCAATATAAACCTGCCACATACACCCAAAATACTATCAATTAATCCTCTATTTTGTTTCTTCAAGTTTTATTCGTTATTTTCATTATAAATTTTACTTGATCTGTAATAGCTGCACATATTTATGGGACACAGTGTGATTTCCATGACATGGCTGAAATGCATAATGAGCAATCAGGGCAATCCACCTGTCCTCCATCCCAAACATTTATCATTACTTTGTGTTGTGAACCTTTCAAATCCTCTCTTCTATCTGTTTGGAAATAAATCTTGAATTGCCAGTACCGTGCTATTTTTAAAAACAAAACAAAAGAGATGCTTTGACTTCCAGAAACAAAGCCATCCGATGCCACACGCATCATTTCTCTACAAATAGGCATAGGCTTTGAAATTCTGAATTACTTTAGTTAAGAAAAGCAACTGCATTAGTTAAGAAAAGCGACTACATTATTTTCTTTTACTGCTAGTGTAAATTATTCACTTCTGCTGAAACGAATGTAAATGAATTACAAAGTCATAAAATGTAAGTCTTTTGTTCTTTTGGTACAGAGTAGAAAGAACAAAGAAAAAAGATCTGAAGAGATTCCTGGCTCACTGCAGCAAGCAGGTCCTTTAAAGACCACTCATATCTTGACAGAAAGGGATGAGACCAGGGACATTTCCTGTTAGAATTTATCTTTGTGTGTAATCGCTTGCAAATTAGGCAGCTTTTGGAAGCTAAATGACAAATATAAATACTACGGAGACTTTCAGATACAAATATTATAGATTAGCTAATCAAAGCCATTACTACTCTTACTATTTCTAACAATGTTAAATGCACATAATTCCATTCAGGAGCTAGCTGAGTCTAATTATGTCTTGCCTGATTTTTCTTGCTATCTCTTCATTTATTTTATTTTTTATACATTCAATCACTGTATATCATCACAATATGCAAAATGCATTTTCCCAGCATGAATACACTGTATATTAGTCCAGTTAAAGATATTCTCATACACATCAACAGGTAATTTTCCATTTTTGTGTTCCTTAAATGTTTTGCTTCTTTCTTTTGGCCCTTGATTCCCTTCCTCTCACCCTCCCCTATTTTCCACCCTCCTCCCACACTGTTTCCAGTATCCACAATTATTTTATTTTTTAAATAATTATTTTATTTAACTTTATTTATTTATTTTAATTTGACCAGAAAGGGATAGAACAAAAGAGATAAAGAGAGAGGGAAAGTGAGAAAGCAAACTGCCAGGTCCGGGACTGGACAGGGGGGAGTCCAGCGTCCTTAACCACCATGCCACCTGCTGGCCCCACAATTATTTTTTAATGGAGCTGGGAAGAAGGAAAAAAGCAGATTAAGGGTAGAGAGCTCTTAGGGTGACACTGCTTTAGTCACTGCTTCTGTAGCTCATAAAGTAATTTCCATGGCATTACATGTACATTGACAAGGAGTCTCTAGGGCAGTACAGAAAAGATGTCATAAATGATTAGCTGAACAGCATTCGAAAGAAGAGACGAGAGTGTAGAATAAGAGCAAAATGAGGGACCACCAGATGGGAAAATGGTAACATCACTGGACTCCCATGTAGTCAAGCACTGTTCAAGTCCCAGACCTGGAGGCTTAAAACTCACACCGGGTGTGTGTGCATGCATGCCCAAAATCCCAAGAAGAGAATGAAGGAGAAGGGATTGTAACGTTACCATCCCCCTGGGGGTGATTTCTCACTTTCTGTCTCTCTGTCTCTCTAGCAAGTGCACACACCCTATAGCAAAAATCTCTCTTTAAAAAAAAAAGAATAAATTGATACTGCCAGCACCTCAAAGCTACTGATATTTTCTCTTCCAGTTCTGGGCTCCCCACTTCCCTTTTCAAAAAGAAGCATGGAGGCAAGAGGAAAGACAATACTCTGCAATGCTAGAATCCATATGGGAAAGTCAGGGTTAGGCTCCTGGGTCAACCTGTACATCACTGGGCATGTGTACCTGTGATCCAGGCTGGCTGGGAAAAGCTGAGGTGTTGGGATCCTGTTAAGGGTGCTTCTCTCTCTCATGAAAGAAAGAAACTTTAAAAATGAATGAGTCACCTTTAAAGAAAAGGAAAGACCTGGATTTGAGTTCGAGTTCAGCCACATCTTTGAGTAACCTTGAAAAAAATATTACTTCACCCTAGGCCAGCAGGTGGCACAGTGCTTAAGGGGCTGGACTTCCACATGGCTGGCTGTGGTTCGAGTCTGGGACCCAGTAGCTTGCTTTCTCACTTTCCCTCTCTCTGTGAGCACAGATGCCCTATAGCAAATTAAAATAATAATAATAAATAAAATTAAATAAATAAAGCTTGAAAAAAATCACTTCACCCTTTTGAGACTCCGTTTCATCTACAAAATGGATTTAAAAATTGCCTTACCACAGTACTGTTCTGAGGAACTAGATCATGAATGTGTGAAAACACTGTGTAAGTGACCAGCAGATGCCATAATGGTTGCATCACACTGGATTCCCACATAGCTGACCACGGTTCGAGTCCCGGACCTAGTGGCTTAAAACTCATGCTGGGCACATGTGCATGTGTGCATGTCCAAAATCCTGAGAGGCAAATGGAGGAAAAGGGACTGTGGCGTGGTCATCCTCCTTGGGGGCTGATTTATCACTTTCTGTCTGTGGTGAACACTCGTTCCCTATAACAAGAATCTCTCTAAATTAAAAAAAAAAATACCACTGTAGAGGGACCAGCAGTTAGCATAATGGCTATGTCGTTGGACTCCCATGAAGTCGACCGCGGTTCGAGTCCCGGATCTGGTGGCTTAAACTCATGCCGGGCACGTGTACGTGTGTGTGTGCCCAAGATCCCGAGAGGAGAATGGAGGAGAAGGGATTGCGGCGTGGCCATCCCCCCTGGGGGGTGATTTCTCGCTTTCTGTCTCTCTGTCTCTCTGGCGAGTGCATGCGCCCTATAGCAAAAGCCTCTCTCTAAAAAATGTATATATATACCACTGTAGAAAATGAAAAATAAACAAGTATAAGCTGAAAAGCGCTGGATACACAGTGATTGATATATAACAAAGTATCTTCCTATTTTTTATTCTTTTAATTCTCCCTTTATTCTTAGATCATAATTGATTTTTTTTAAGAAAGAACTTTTAAAGTTATTTATTTTAGGGCCAGTGCTATGGAATGGTGGTTAAGGGAGTTGGATCCCACCTGGCTGATCTTGCGGTTCAAATATTAGACCTGGTGTCTTGAAGATCATGTTCAGCACATGTGCACGCATGCCCCAAATCCTGATAGGGTAGAGAAATAGAGAAGGGATACCAGTATAAGCACACCCCATTAGGTAGTGCTTTCTCCTTCTCCCTCTTTCTGGCAAGCACATGTTCCCTCTGGCAGAAAAAAGGAAAAAAAAGTTTATTTCTTTTGTTTATGAGAAAGAGAGTGTGTGTGCATATGTGAGAGAGACAGACACAAGCGCTCTCAAGAGGGCCCTGTCATATTATGATCCCCTTCCCCTAGCCCTCTATCTCGTCAGGCTCTAGGGTGCACACACCTAGTGTTTTTCAAGTTGACTCCAGATCTGAACCCGCCACTGGCCACGTGGCTTCCAGCAGTATAGTTCAGAATGCAACATGCCCGTGCCACTGAGGCTAGGCCAAAAACTATGGTACCAATACACCCATCCCCAGGTGGGCTGAAACTACCAACCTTTTGCCTGAAAACAAAATATGCTACCTGACTGTGCTATAGAGACAAAAGTTTCTCTTAAGATGGAGCTAAATTTAATTTTTTAAACAAGTTTCCAGGGTTTCTTTAGTTTTGTTTTAGGTTTTTGCCCATAGGGAGTGTGAATTTGCCAGAGAAAGACTAAGAGAGACAGTGAGAGGGAAAAAAGAAATAATAAAGGTAAAAATATTCAATAAGAAATTTAAAGCAGCTGGGCCAGCAGGTGGTG